CCCTCCTACTTCCTAGAGTATTGTGAGTGTTACATGAAATAACTCTTAAACCAGTACGTTTAAGGGTGCTCTTTACTGCGTTTCAGCAAAAATATAGATGAGCATGTCAAGGTGGGGGTATTCCTACATGTGCCTGTGCATTTAGGGGCAGGCTCGTGAGTCTGGAATCGGACCCTTTCTTGAGGCTAGATCTGGCTGCAAAGGAAGGAAAGGGTTAATGCACTCAGACCTCTGCTGGCTCCCCAGAGGATGTGGAATCAGCTGTCTCCAGACACTGCTATTTTAAGACACTTCAAGATTTTGAAATGAATGGCTGAAGATGGAACCAGCCGCAGGAAAGGCCCATCTTATTCTGACCCCTTGGTGATGTCATCAAGATGAGTAAGGCACCAGGACTTTTAGTGCCACCTTCCAGAAATATGCCTACCATCCTTGCCCATATGCACACACACATACACACACACACAAATACACACATTCTCTCTCTCTCTCCCTCTCACTCTCTCATTCCTGGGAGCACCCCATGTAAAGCTTCATAGGGTCTAAAATAAAATGCCCTGGACACTGCAGCTCCAGGTGTTTCCAGCTGTCCCTCTGTGCAAAGACCCCACCCCTACCAGAACCACCAAACCCCAGCCTTCCTGAGTTTGCAGGAGCCACTGTTCCCCTCTCTGAGAAGAGGAGCGAACCAGTGCTAGGCAGCTGACGTGCCCATCTTCACTATCGTACTGGCTGATTGATTATGTGGCCGCTTAATTAGCTGATCATACATATGTGGAGATATTTTAAGAAGAAAATGCTCTATTCACATGTGTGCTCCTCGCAGGGAAAGCTGTTTAATTTGGAGGTGTTTATCAGAGTGGCACAGGGCCTGCCAACTCCTCTGGGGATATGGGGTGTGGCAGGGCAGGGCAGAGGGTGGGGTGGGCAGGGGAGCCCCAAGTTCTGTCTGAATCTGTTAGGCAGACCCTTGCCCCAGCCCTGGCCCTGCCTGCCTTTTCATACTCTCTCTCCTCCTCTCCCTTCCATATTGCCCATTTTCCTGTTTTTCTCTGCCCCCTCTCCTGTCTCTTCTCCATTTT